AAAACAACCCTTTGAGATAACTTTATTTTCTTCATTAAAGATTATTTATTTTGACATTTTAAAAGATTTTGAGTTCTAAATTCCTTCCCTCTAGACCAGACCCTCTCCTCCCCCTTTAAGAAGGCAAACAATTTGATAGTCATGGAAAAGATATTCCCATATTAGCCATGCTACAAAAAAAGCAAGAAAAATAAAGTGAAGAAAGTATGTTTCAATCTGCATGCAGAGTTAATCAGATTTCTCCAGAAGTAGACAGTATTTTTCATCATGAATCCTTTGTCTTGGATCATTGTTTTTATTAGAGTACTTAAATCTGTCACAGTTGATCACTGTTACAATTTACTGTTGCTATGCACAATGTCCTCCTGGTTCTGCTCACTGTACTTTGTATCAGTTCATGTAAGTCTTCCCAAGTTTTTCTGAAAGCATCCTGCTCATAATTTCTTATAGTGCTATAGTACTACATCACAAACATATGCTACAATTTGTTCAGCCATTCCCCAATTGATGAGAATCCCCCTGATTTTCCAATTCTTTGCCATCACAAAAAGAGCTCCTATAAATATTTATAAGTCCCTTTCCTTTTTCTTTGATCTCTTTGGGATACAAACTTAGTAGTGTTATTGCTGAGTCAAAGGGTATGCAGAGTTTTTTAGCCCTTTGGGTAGAGTTCCAAATTGTTCTCCAGAATGGTTGGAGCAGTTCTTAGTTCTACCAACAGTGCATTAGTGTCCCTATTTTTCCACATCTCCTCCAGCATTTGTCATTTGCCTTTCATCACATTAGTCAATTTGATAGGTGTGAGTTCATATTTCAGAGTTTTAATTTACATTTTTCTAATCAATAGTGATTTAGAGCATTATTTTCATGTGACTATTTACAGCTTTGATTTCTTCTTCTGAAAATTGCCTGTTCATATCCTTTGACTATCAATTGAGCAATGGCTCCTATTTTTATAAGTTTAGTTTAGTTCCCTATATATTTTAGAAATGAGGCCTTTATCAGAGAAACTTACTGTAAATTTCCCTCCCTCTGCCCAGTTTCCTACTTACCTTATAACTTTGGCTATATTGGTTTTGTTTGTGCAAAACTTTTTTTAATTTAATGTAATCAAATTATCCATTTTACTTCCTGTGATCCTCTCTATCTCTTATTTAATCAAAAACTCTTCCCTTATTCAAAGATCTGACAGGTATATTTTTCCACGCTCCCCTAATTTATTTGTGATATCACTCCTTATGTTTAAACCATGTACATATTTTGACCTTCTTTTGGTATAGTTTTAGATGTTGGTCTATACCTAGCTTCTGTATTAGTTTTCAACTGATCCACCACTCTTATTTCTTAGCCAGTTCCAGAGCATTCTGATGACCAACAATTTGTAATAGAGTTTGCAATCTGGTACTGCTAGGCTGACTTTCTTCATGTTTTAAAAAAAATAATACATTGATATTCTTGACCTTTTATTCTTCCAGATGAAATTTTAAAAATTATTTTTTGAGCTCTATAATCTAACTCTTGGATAATTTAATTAGTATGACACTGAATAAGTAAATTAACTTAGGTAGAATTGTCATTTTTGTTATTTTGACTTGGCCTACCCATGAGCAATTAATGTTTCTCTAAATGTTTAAAACTGTCTTTATTTGTGTGAAAAGTGTTTTGTAATTTTTGTTCATGTAGTCACTGGGTTAGTCTTGCCAGACGGATTCCTAGTATTTTATACTGACTGAAGCTATTTTAAGTGGAATTTCTCTTTCTTTCTCTTCCTTCTGGACTTTGTTGGTAATACAGAAATGCTGATGACTTATGTGGATTTATTATAAATCGTGCAACTCTGTTAAAGTTGTTAATTGTTTAAACTAGTTTTTTAGCTGATTCTATAGGGTTCTCTAAGTATATCATCACACCATCTGCAAAGAGTAAATTTTGTTTGTTCATTACCTATTCTTAATACTTATATTTATTTTTCTTGTCTTATTGCTATAGCTAATATTTTGAGTACAATATTGAATAATAATGGTGATAATGGACATCCTTGCTGCATCCCTTATCTTACTGGGAAGGCTTCTAGTTTATCTCTAATACAGATGGTGCTGATGGTTTTAGTTAGTTACTACTTTCATTTTAAGAAAGGTTTTCACTTATTTATATGCTTTCTGGTGCTTTTAATAGGAATGTATGTTGAATTTTGCCAAAAGCTTTTTCTGCATCTATTGATAATCATGATTTTTCTTGTTTTTGTTATTGATATGGTCAATTATGCTGATTTTTTTTAATATTAAACCAGCCCTGCATTCCTGCATAAATCTCACATGGTCATAATGTATGACCTATGTGATATATTGCCATAATCTTCTTGCTAGTATTTTATTTAAAAATTTTGCATCAATATTCATTAGGGAAGTTGGTCTATAGTTTTCTTTCTCTGTTTTTGCTCTTCCTGGTTTAGATATCATAACCATATTTATGTCACGGAAGGAATTTGATAGGACTCCTTCTTTGTCCACTAACCCAAATAATTTATACAGTATTATAATTAACTGTTCCTTACATGTTTGGTAGAATTCACTGATAAATCCATCTGGGCCTACAGACTTTTTTCTCAGTAAGCTCATTTATGGCTTGTTCAATTTGTTTTTCTAAGACAGGATTATTTAAGTATTTTATTTCCACTTCTATTCATCTAGGTAATTTATATTTTTGTAAGTATATATCCATTTCACTTAGATTGTTAGTTTTACTGGCATATAAATGGGTAAATAGCTCCTGATTGTTTTAATTTTTTCTTCATTGTTAGTGCATTATCCATTTTCATTTTTCATACTGAAATTTTAGTTATTTTTTAAGCCTTGGTTTATCCGTTTCATTGCTTATTCTCATAGTAAACCAGTTCTGTGTTCTGTGCTCTGGTTCTTACCCAGGAAGGGACCCTGATCCCTTACAGCCACAAGCACTCTTTCTCCTCAGGGTCTCTGCTTCTTGTGACCACAAGTGCTCCTCTTCACCTTGGAACTGTGACCCAGGAGTGGGTATGAGGAATGGAATTGCAAAACTGTGCCCAGTCCTATGCCCAATGCTAGCCCAAGGGTCCCTTATAATAATCTCTTTCCGACCAGTTGTCCAATCCCCTTACTGTCTCTTGGTTGAGAATTCATGAAGCTGTTGCTGTTGCTGACACAGCTGCTTCCACGTTCCACAGCTGGTGTTGCCACTGTGTGTGTTCTAGATCCGCTCCCAACTCAGTGTCACAGATCTCTACTTCCAACCTCCTAAGTTGTCTTGGGCTGGAAAAATGTCTCATTCTGACCTGCTACAGAATTTGATTTGATTTGTTGTTTTAAAGTTGTTAGGAGGGGGATGTTGGGAGAACTTGACTGTAAAGCTTCATCCTGTGAGGAATAATTTGATCTTTTGCAAACAGCCAAAAGTTATTTGATCCTGTCTACCAAGCATCCATAACTGAAAGCCAAATCATCATCATCACTGTTTTCATCACGTGTTCATTCATTTATCCATTCAACAAGTACATTAAACATCTACTATGAGCAAGACACTTTCGTACATGATGTGGCAAATGCAAGAAGAATGAGATATTGTCATTGTCTTCATGAAATATATAAAGTGCCTAGCTCATGGTAGACACATAGTAAATGTTGATGTCCTTCCTACCTTCACTGTTCAACAGCATAATGTACTATATGCTTGAAGAAATAAGAATACAAATGAGACATGATTAGAACTTGTCCTCTAGGAGTTAACAGGTTAGTAGACCTGAAAAGTTGACACACGCAATTTATAGATAAATATAAAGCAATTGAAAATTTTAAAATGATATCTTTTTTTAATATTATCTCTGTTTCCCACTATAGGCAGCTAGGTGGAGCAGTGCATAGAGTAGAGTGTCTGGCCTGGAGTCAAGAAGACTCATTTTCCTGAGTTGAAATCTACCCTCGGATGCTTACTAGGTGTATGACTCTGGACAAATCACTTAACCCTGTTTGCCTCAGTTACTCATCTGCAAAATGATCTGGAGAAGGAAATGGTAAACCACTTCAGTATCTTTGTCAGGAAAACCCCAAATAGGGTCATAAAGAATTGGACACGACGTAAACTATTCAACAACAACATACTCTCATCTTCTCCTCCAGCTTTCTGTAAAATTCCATTTTTAGAAGCTGCTTGTGTATCCATATTCTATATAGAGTTGCTGAAGCTAATGCTCAAGGCCCACTGACTTTTCATACCAACAAGCCTGAACTCTACACATAAATAAAATATGCAGATAACTATCTCTGCATGTTAATTCATTAACTGGCAGCAGTACCTAATCAATGGACCCTTTAATAATTTTTATTTCAGGTCCTTTCCAATACTATGATTTTAAGACTATGACTTAAGAGGTTCCTAAGAGATAATAGTTTGATGTTCTACTATTTACATAAAATGACTCCTCAAATTTTTGCCTGCACTGTTTCCCTATAATATTCTATTTTTTAAACATATTTTACATTTGTATAGCATTCTATAATTTATAAAGCCTTTTTACATATGAACTATATAATTTGGGGGAAGGGTTTAGGAAAATGCATTGGATTTTAAAATCTTCAAACAATTTACCAAGTTGCTCTGATCAAACAACAACAGCAGTAGTAATAATTAATAATAGTAATAATCACTTGGTGGCCAATCTTCTCTTGATGATATTTCTTGAATTTATATTGGCTTTTGGACAAAAGTAGCACAGTACATAGACAAGAATATATTCAAAGCCTCTTCAGCCTAGTAGGACCCAACAGAGATTGGACTCTGTTGACATTGCTTTTGAGAGCCCTAGGCCAGAACCAAGCCATGGTGAAATAATATAAGAGGAGGGCTTTTGTTGATCTTCACCAGTAGAGTTCATTAAACTAAGCCACAATGGAGTTTTAATCTATATCAATAGATAAAATTACAGCTTTGAGATAAAAATATAAAAACAATCATTATAAATAACTTACCTTAGTGCGTAGTTACATATGAAATGTGCTGCATTTAGAATAGTTCCAACCCTAGGACAATCAATAACAGCACAGCCAATTTTGTAGGTAGTATCCCAAACAACCTAAAAGACAATTTAAAAATAAAACACACAGTTAAATCCTTCTAGTTTACTATTGTGGACAGACATGAAATAGGTCACAAACTTCTGTGTTTGTGTGCCAGTAGGAAGAAAAGAATGTTGCTGAACAAAAACTAAAACACTGTTCTGAGAGTTGTTTAATGGATCTAATACAAAAAACTAAAGCTATTTGTTTAGAAGCTGAAACAGTTAAAGTATCTCCTATCAGAGAGTCCTTGAGAAAATGTGCTATATCCCATATGGTTAACACTACCAAGAGTCTTTTCATTAACTTACTGGACAAAATAGTTCTATCCTGATCTAAAACATCCTTTATTCATAGGTCCTTAAACATAATTTCAAGGATTAAGCTTGAGAACATACAAAAGGTCCTATATCATGTCTGTTTATCAGATTCCAACTTAAAACTATACATCCTGAGAACTCTCCCTTAAGACTACTCATAAATAAATGTGCCCCTAACAATACTGATTTCAAATCTAACATGAAACTACTGTAGGTTAGACCTACATTTGGCCTATTCCACTAGATGTGAAGCTTTTTTTCCCTCTTTCTTTTTAAAAATCCAGTTATCACTCATGAACCATAAAATCCAGTGAAAACTACTTTAATAACAGAAGATTTAAAGCACATAATACAAGAATTTTAAAAAAGATATAAAATAACTATCCTTTGCACTCACTGAATTAGGAAGTGAAAGAGGGTACCAGCAGGCCACTGGAATTCAGGGAAAGATTTATGACAATTTTCCCCACTCTTAAGCTAAACCTTTTATAGTTCTTATCACTATAATGTCAAAAAAAATCACTTTTCAACCAATGAATGTCATATACATTGGAGTTCATTTTCCTTTTACGTACAGAAACAAAATATACTACAGTGCAAGGGATAGCATCATTTTTGGCTACTAATTCCTCTTTTAGAATTAGATAACTTACTGAATGATATCTGAGAACCTACTTAAGTCACAGGGGAAAAGAGAGAAAAATAGTAGAAATTGAAAAGAATCACAAGAATGGAATGTAGGATCCTCGACAGCAGGCACTGTCATTTTTTATTACCATTATTCCACTTTCCACATTCCCCTTAGCTCTCCCCTAGCCTAAAGATAAAAGTCCTACCTTGTAACAAAGAAAAGCATAGCCACACAAAACAGGTCCACAGAGTGACTATGTCTAAAAACGCATATCTCATTTTGCACCTCTAGTCCACCATGTCTCTGCCAAGAGATGGTGATTAAATGGCAGAGGGGGAAGCGCTGGGTCTGCAATTACGAAGACTCAAGTTCAAATTCGGCCTCAAACACTTACTATCTGTGTGACCTTGGGCAAGTTACTTTACCTCTGTTTTACCTCAATTTTCTTATCTGTAAAATGGGGATGATAATAATAGCAACTCTCAAGGTTGTGAGGATCAGTTGAAATAAGAATTATAAAGTACTTAGCACAGTTTCTGGCATATAGTAAGCACTCTATATATGTTAGCTATTATTATCATTATTGCTATTATTACTTCACAGGGTTTTTGTGAGGAACAAATGAGATAATTGTAAAGGACTTAGAAGAGTGCCTAGCACACAGCAGGTGCTATGTAAATGCTAGCTATTATCATTATACTTTTGAATTTTTGATTTGTTGTTGCATTGATCATGGTTCTTAACTCTTTTAGTTGTTCTAGTAATTGTATAAATCATTCTATTGTTTCTACTCATTTCACTATGTATTAGTTCGTATAAGGACTCCCTCAATGGCCTGTCCATATCCTTTAACCATTTATTAGTAAAAGGCTCAAATTCTAGTATTTTATGTCAAATCCCTATATTCTTGGACTTCAGTTCTTTATCAGAAAAATCTGCTACAAATATTTTTGCCTAATTAACTGTTTTCATTCTAATGGCATTGCTTTTGTGTTGATAGTGGGAGTGCTTATCAATTTTTTTTTGTAATCAAAATTGCCCATTTTATATCCTAATTTATGACATAACTATATATAATATAGGAAACTACATAAGTGTACATACATACATATGTATATACATAAATATGTATGTGTGTTTACACATATGTCTTTATGTTTAGGTCATGTATCTATTTGGAACTTCCTGTGGTATATGGTATGAGACACTGGTCTAAACTTAATTCCTACCAGGCTTCTTTCTAATATTCCCAACATTTTTTGGTTGAATAGTGAGTACTTATACCCCAGTAGTTGAGAATTGTTGAGTTTAGTAAACACTATGACAAAATATTTGATTGCTACTGAATCTTGTGTACCAAATCTGTTCCATCAGTCAACTTTTTTGTAGTATAATTTTATATCTGGTACAGCTGGCAACTCCCCCCCCCCAAAAAAAATTCCTTCCCAATTATTTTCATTATTTTCTTCAAGATTCTTGACTTCTTGTTTCTCCAGATGAATTTTACTATTTTAAGAGTTATATAAATAACCTCTTTGATTGATTTGATTGGTTCTGCAATGAAGCTATAAATTAATTTAGATACTATTGTCATTTTTATTATATTGTCACTTCTCAACATGAACAATTAGTCTCTCTACAATCATTTAAGCATGTCTTTATTTCTGTGGAATGTTTTATAGCTGCATTCATATAATTCCTATTCATGTCTTAGTAAATGGATCACCAAATAGTGACATAGTTTTTGTAGTTATTTTTAATTGTATTTCTTTTTTGATCTTTCCTTTATGGGTGTAGTTAGTAATTTATAGAAAGGTTTGTGGTTTTTTTTTTATGAGTACCTTTTATATCCTGCTACCTTGCTAAAATTATTGTTTGATTTAATTTTAAATTAAATCTTTAGTGTTCCCTAAGTAAACTAGGATATAATCCGCAAAAGCTAAAATGTGTTTTTCCTTTTTGCCCATAATTATTCCCTAAATTTTTTTTGTTATTACTATAGCTACCAATTCCTATATTGTATTAAATAAGAATGGTGACAATGTATTGCCTTACTTTTTCTCTGATCTTATTGGAAAGGCTCCTGGAGTTTCTTCACTATAGATAAAGCTAACACTTGATTTTAGATAGGCATTTTATTTTGTATTAAGGAAAAGTCTACTCTTTTGCTTTTCAATACTTTTTTAAAAACAATAATTGGGTGTTATATTTTATCAAAACATTTTTTGTATTTGTTCATAAAATCATGTGATTTGAGGTTATTAATAGTCATCCACTATACTTATAATTTTTATAATATTGAATGAACTTCTGTATTCTTGGCATATATGCAACCTGGTCAGAGCATATAATCTTTTTAATAGGTTGGTGTAGCTACCTCACTGATATTTTATTAAATATTTTAAATCAGTATTCATTAGAAATATTGGTCTATAATTTTCCTTCTCTGCTTCATTTTTTCTTAATCTAGATTTTAACATCATATTTGTTTCATTGAAGATTGATAGGATTCTTTCTTTCCAGATACCTTGTAGGAATTAATTTTTCTTTGAATGTTAGATCAAATTCACTTTTAAATGTATCTGGCCCTGGGGTAATTTTTCTTTAGGAGTTCCTTTATTGCTTACTCAATTTTTTTCTATGACTGAATTATTTAAATTCTCTAGCTCTTGTCCTGCTAAACTTGGTATTTTATGTTTTTTGTTAATATTCTTCCATTCATTTATCAGTTTTATTGGCAAAAGTTTATAATTTCCTTTACTTCTTCATTTGTTGTGAATTCTTTTTTAAATTAAAAAAAAATCTGACAATTTAGCTTTACTCATTCTAAAATAAGATTAGCTAACAATCTATTTTATTAGGTTTTTTTATTTCAAGTTTTAACAATATTATCAATTTAATGTTTTCTTTTCAATTTTATATCTTCTTTAATTTCAGACTTATTTTTGTGTTTCCTTGTCTTTTTTTTTCTGGCCAATAGTTATTCTTCATTTACTTGGTCTTTCCTAAGTGATTACAGATCTTTTACAGGAAACCCTAAAATGTCGTGGAGCTTGATGCAAGCAGCACAATATTATCCATGAACATCTAGAGGAATCCATCATTCACAGAAAATCCCTCGTCAATTTGAATTCTGTGCCAATACTGAGGCAAATACCTTTGACAAACATCTATCTTCTTATTTTATGCCTCATCTGATTTTACTCATTGAATAATTTCTAATTTTTTTTTATCTTCCAAGAAACCTTGCATTATTTTTATGTATGAGTATAAAATGCCTTGATGTAAAAGTATCTATACTCCAGCATTTTATTCTGCTGAAACAAATGGTTTTGCATACTCTACAATGAGCATGATGAGATCTTATATTTTTCTCCTGTAGTTAGTTGTGAAATGGTAAAGAAGTGAGCTACTGTTGAATAAATCCTCATTAGAAATGTCTTTGATCCATTAATGGGTGACTCTTATAAAGATATTGTATAGATGGAAGAATAGGCTTAAGACAGTAGTTATTTATGTCCTCAAATTTGCCTTGTGGAGAATTAATAAAATCTTTCCATGCCTTTGGGGTCTTCCTCTACATCAGATATTAGTACCTTGATTACCTGTAACAATACCTTGTCCCTTAATACTCTTGCAATTATATTGCCTCCAGCATGGATGTCCTCTATATTGTACTCAATCCAACACAACTGTTACACCTATCTTTAGTGCCATTACTATTTCCTTTACAAGCACATTTGGGGCCATGATGTTAGGGTCCAAGTGTAGCATTTCTATTATCCTTGATGATGACAATAGTTTGTTAAAATGGTTATTTGCATGTCTTTTCCATTTTTGTTCTATTTGTAGTCTTTTTTGTTTTTCCTTTTATTCTTGAATGTTCTTGGGATGACTTTGCTTGGCTATTCTGCCAAGCTTTCTTTAAGCTAATTTTACTCTCCACTGCTTCTCTCTATTTTAGAAGAAGACACTACTCACAATCATCCATCATCTTTCCAGTCTTCCTATACCTTACTCCCTGAAATATACTCTGTAGGGAAGCAACAAGAAGGATTTGTCATAT